AGAGAGAGAGAGAGAGAGAGAGAGAGAGAGAGAGAGAGATCAACAGATCAACAGATCAGATCAGGAAAAGTACAGACAGATGAAGTGAATATGGGAATGAGTGGATATTTAAATGAAGAGAACTTCAGAACGTGTGCTGCTATTTCAGTAATAATTCCTACCAACTTGAATATTTAAGAGTATATTAGTAATTAGAATATAACATCACTTTGCATGTTATGTAATTAATAACACTGTATTTTCAGGTAAAGTTTATACACGATCAAAACAGTCCTCATCCTAAATACAAAGGATTCGTTCACGGTGTGCGAGAGATAATCAGAACACAAGGTAGGAACAGTACGGTAGCACTGACTCATGATCAACATAATGAGTGTTGCTTTCCCAGCATGTATTTAACCAGTTTTAAAAAGAATCTTACACGTGGCACTGCACATGCTATTGCAATGAAATCATGCGATTTTTGCTGTTGTTTAGTTTTTAAATTGTTAACATTCTCGCTATCGTTACTTAGATTATTTGAATGTCAGAAGAATGTTGAAAATTCATTCGGTATACCCATATTGAAATCATTATGCGTGAACATGTTTGTGCATGTTTGTGTACTGTGTGTAAGTGTGTGTTCGTGTGTGTGTGGTGTGTTTGTGTATGTACGTGTGTGCGTAAGTGTGTAGGTGCGTGTGTGCGTGCATGCGTGCGTGTGTGATGTACGTGTGTGCGTGCGAGCATGCGTGCAAGCGTGCGTGTGTTGTGCGTACGTGCGCGATGTGCGCGGTAACGTGCGCCGTGAGTGCACGCTGTGCGTGCGTGGGTGTGGTTGTGTTGTGCGTGCGTGCTGTGCGTGCGTGGGTGTGCTTGTGTTGTACGTGCGCGCTGTGCGTGCGTGGGTGTGCTTGTGTTGTGCGTGCGCGCTGTGCGTGCGTGGGTGTGCTTGTGTTGTGCATTCGGCTGTGACAAATCGAACTACTTTCAACTGGCCCCCTTAGAAACGTTCACAGATCGAAGTACGAGAGGGTGTATTGACGCATAAGCTTGCAGCCTGGTCGAGCTATACTCCAACCCTCCGGCTTGAGCAGCAACGACTCCGCCTGCTTTACCGCGGCTTACATTCTCGCAGACGCGCGCGTATTTCTTGGAGAACGCGAAAGACATTCGTCGTCTGCTCATCAATTTACTCCCTCAATAGGAACGCATCGCGAGATTACAGCGGGCAACGATCGATGCAGGCGAGCAGCGGAGATGCGCGACTCGGCCACGGCCACAAATCGTCGTCGGTGACACTGCTGGCTTTGTCACTGTTTCCCCGCATCTTATGTAACGGCGCACTGATCAATGTGACGATCTCCTCGGTCAGCTTACAGTCCGCCCTGTGACTGATTGCGGCGCGGGGGAAATTCGATGATTGAACGTATAAACGGTTGACTAAAGACACTCGGCACGTATTCAGTAATGGACGGCAAACACTTGCCAAGTCGTCGCCCAAGCTGAGCCTTGTGTCGTGTCATCGCACTATTTGGCAAATATCGCAGGGCAACGCAGCAGTGAATTTCAGTCGAGCGACGAGTAAAGTAACAGTCGAGATCTGCTGCCTGATTTATAATTGAATCCGCGATGAAGCCAGTCTAATGACTGCGTTTAACGCTTCACTTATTCACTCGTATGAATAAATTACTGTTGAGATTACAGTTAATTAAATTAGGGCGCAGAGCTCCCTATGTAAGTATCCCTGTAAGGAGTACAGCGTATCGCGTATATTGGCGCGTACGTGCGTGCGCGTACGTGCGTGCGTGCGTGTACGTGCCTGTGTGCCTAGCAGTGTGTACCCATGTGTGTGATGTGTAGTTTTGACTTGCCTCCTGGCCTGCACATTAATTTCGGCACTTTGCCCCCGTGTCGTGAGTGCGTGTGTTTGTGTGTTGGGGTAATGCATGGCTGGGCGAACGTGCGCAATCTGTGGGTGCACGCATGCTTACGAGAGCAAATCTATTATATCATATATCAGAGATTTTATCAATTCTTGGTATATATTTATATATATATAATCAAGAGCTAATAATACCTAGGTATTATTAGCTCTTGATATAATCTAAATAGTCAATAGATTCATCCACGAATCACGTATGTCAGGCTGTAGTGGATGCGCTACAATGCGTGGAAGTGTTTGTAAATCTCTCGGGAGTAGTTGATGTAAATTTCCGTATTCACACATTTTAAAATTATATACACTAATGACGTGTCTGATAATTCAATAAGAAAATCAATATACTGTCAAACTATTGATCAAGCTGTTTCAGAGCTTCAGCAAGATCACCATGGCAACCCAGATGGACTAGACTCACTAGAGTATCAGCTTGTTGTGGTGGTTGTTGGAAATACATCCCTATTTATTTTTTTCCCTGTACTCTAGCCCTGATAAATCTATGTCCCTCCCCCCTTTCTACGTTCATCGTATCCGCAAACTGTCGAAATGCAATCTCGGAACAATATAGATTTAGATCATGTTTTCATCTATGAAAGCACTTTATACTTTGAAGTCACGACAGATCTTGATAACGGATGGCAGCGGCGCGGCCACATTCGCCTGAAATAATAATGACGAATATTTAAGATTTTCGTGGAATGTTCCGAGAGAAAACAGAAATATCTCGGCGGTTTGTTCAGTGATGGCGGTCGTATGGGACGAGTAATCTCTCTATTCTGTTGCTTAGAAGATCATGCACGGATTTAACTTGGCGCATCGCCCTTCACTTGTTCATTGCATGGTTAGACTGATCAGTCAGCTGCGGCTTCTAGCAGTTGTGCTGTAGGAATCTGCGTGCCATCCGTACGTGCGCGTGCATGCGTGTACGTGCTTGCATGCGTGTACGTGCGTGCATGCGTGTACGTGCTTGCATGCGTGTACGTGCGTGCATGCGTGTACGTGCGTGCGTGCATGCGTGTACGTCCGTGCATGCGTGCGTGCCGAAGTGAGTGTTGCGCTACATGTGCGCAATTTAAGAAGCTTGTCGTGTGCATATAGATAATGATTGAAAAATGGGCTGCCGGCCCAGAATTTTGAGCGCTAGATTTTGCCACCTGCTTCCCGTTCCTCGCCTATACAGAGTGTAATTTTAGTGCGAGTGTCTGCTGGCGATTGAATAAATTGGTTCGCTTGCAGCTGTGTCCCCTTCTCCTGGCCTCCTGTATGATGTTGGCTTGTATGATTGGCTCTTGTATGATGCCGGCTTCCCTAACGTGGATGCAGATTTCTCGCATACTAGGTATGAGATATCCCCCGAGATAGCCACCGAGATAAATCCTCGGGATAACTTGCAGACCCCGAGATGGGTTTATCTCGCACTACTTTTTAATTCAATGATTTTTCTTAATTACAAGGTCAAAGGTCACCTTTACAGTTTTTGGCCAATCAATACTCATAAAATTAATTAATAAAATAAATAAGAAATAATACATAAAAAAATATATATATATAAATATAATAAATAAATATATAAAAATTATAAATAAATTGGAAATTTTGCAAAATATTGAATTACTATTTGAACTGAAATGTTCTTTCTGCAATAAAAAGTTAAAATAAAAATTAAAAATTAAAAAATATGCGAGAAAAAGGTTCTATCACAGTATGAACTTGAGATGGGATATCTCACCCTCATTATAGATAACCATGTCTCATACTCGCTACGCTTGTATGAGACGGGATATCTATAACTCGGGTGAGATATCCCATCTCAAGCTCATACTGTGATAGATTCTAGCCAGTATTGATCGGTTTATCCACTGGTAAGAGCATCTGTGAGTCGTTAGTTAATTTAGATCAGACTCTGTGCGATATATATCTATATATATATATAGGGTTCTTCACAGGAATTTCAAAAAGAATGTCGTTTATGTGAACCAGTGCATGTGAGAGCCCGAGTGGGGTCTGTGTCAAGTGGAGTCTGGAGCCATATATATACATCAAGCAGTGAACTCTGAGCATGATTGTGTTGGGATTGTCAAAAGTAAACAGACCTGGAAATTAAGGCAAGCCGATTGAGCGATTAAGCCACTTTGGAGGGTTTATGGGACTTTGCAAATTGGCTTCAACATTACAGGCATGTCGGGTCTGACATGCGTCGAAGGCCTGGGACGATCCACAACGCACGCGTCTCAACAACTACGTATCCGTATTACCGATTTGCGACGCGACTTCAAAGCGAATTCCACGCGTGCTTTCAGGTGGCATCACAGGCGGCATCGAGATATGCATCACGTTTCCGACGGAGTTTGTGAAGACGCAGCTGCAGCTGGCGGAGAAGTCGGCGAAGCCACGCTACACGGGCATCGTCGACTGCGTGCGCAAGACCGTGCAGCAGAAGGGCGTGTTGGGACTGTACAGGGGGCTCAGCGTGCTCGTCTACGGATCCATACCCAAGTCAGCCGTCCGGTGAGTATATCCGCGTAGCAGTGCCCAGAGCTGCGTAGAGTCGTAAGCAAATTTTCGTAGTGAGCAGAAGTCGTCGTGGGCAGATTTCGTCGTGAGTAGATTTTGTCACGGGCAGATTTCGTCACGGGCAGATCTAGTCACGGGCAGATTTCGTCATGAGCAGATTTCGTCGTCGCCGCGGCGACGGTGGCGATCGGGATGACGCCCCCGGCCTGAGCGGTCCGTGGGTCTCGCCATCATTATAACCTCGTCTTTAACTCGTTTGCTCTTCGCCCCCAGGTTCGGAAGTTTCGAGAAGTTTAAGTCGCTCGCCGTCGATGAGCACGGCAATCTGTCACCGTCCAGGAGACTTCTCTGTGGCCTGGGAGCAGGCGTGTCAGAAGCCATTCTAGCTGTTACACCAATGGAAACCATCAAAGTAGTGTATTAATATCAGGAGTGTATCAATAGGAGTGAGACAGACTAAAACCGGCAAAATTCAACATTTAGTAGCCTTGGTCTACCTATGATTTATTGTGTTTACCTCGATAAACTTGAGCTCAAGTCTTGCCTTAATCATTAAACTTTATCCGTGTCTAATCGTTGGTCTCACAAAAATGACAAATCGGGAGATATCGGTCCAAACGTACAATGTGGTTTTTGAAAGTTATATCCCATTTTCAACAACTGTGAACCGAAACATAAGGGCAATGCTTTTGAAAGCCCTCTATCGCTTAGCAATGCAAACATAGCAAAAACAACTAGCGAAGATTGCTAGGATTTCAGAAGTTAATACACCGCTGGTTTATATAGGCCGATGTCCGAATGACAGTAATACATGTACTGAACAATATTGTTAAGAAAAATAAAATGGATAAAAATACTAAACATGGTGATAGTTTATTATTCTAATGTAAAGAGTCAATAACACCAAGTTCGTGTTTAAACTTTCCGAAATTCCCCTAGCAAACGCTCGCTAGTTGTTTTGCTAGTTCGCATTGCAAGCGATAGAGGCTTCAAAAAGCATTCCGCTTATGTTTCGTTCACAGTTGTTTGAAAATGGGATATACTTGTCGAAAAACGGCACATTGTATGTTGGACCTGATATCTCACCGGATTGTCATTTTTTGGAACCAACGATTAGACACGGATAAAGGTGTAATGATTAAGGCAAGACTAGGAGGCTCAAGTTTATGCGAGGTAAACACAATAAATTCAATAGGTAGATCTAAGGCTACTAAATGTGATATTTGCCGGTTTTAGTCGTTGGTCTCACTCCGATTTGATACACTCTGTAATAATATATATATATATACAGTGTAGCCTCCCTTATAACGCGATCGCTGTTTGGGGTTCCATAAATGTCATCGAGCGAAAATAACGGGGTGCCACTACAGTCGGGGTGAGATATACGTGCTATATAAGAGGCAAAAAAACGGTCCTACGACTCATTGTGTTAGTATCCGAATTCGTGTTAAATCGGGCGCGTAAAATTGGGGTTCTACTCAATATAATATACATATATAGTATATAATTATATATAGTATATAACTATACATAGAATAGTTAGTAGGGTTAGGAAGGGATGGCAGTGCATGAATATGGAAGAAAGCATCTAATTGTGCGTCGTTGGTGTGTTGTGCGTGCGCGCTGTATCGTGCGTGCGTGGTGTCCTTGGTTGTCAATGCGTGGCCGTGCGGGGTGGTGCTTGTGTTGTGGCGTGTGTTAGTCGTCTAGCGAAGGCAACATACAATGCAGATATAGAAAAGAATAGGTATGAAAAGGGAGGAAGAGAGGAGTAGAGAGAGAGAGAGAGAGAGAGAGAAAGAGAGAGAGAGAGAGAGGAGAACGAGAGAGAGAGAGATAGAAAGAGAGAGAGAGAGAGAGAGAGAGAGAGAGAGAGAAGAGAGAGAGAGAGAGAGAGAGAGAGAGAGATCAAAGATCAGATCAGGCGAAAAGTAACAGACAGATGAAGTGAAATGGAATGAGTGGATATTTTAAATGAAGAAGAACTTCCAGGATCACAGTTGCTGTCGATTATTAGTAATAATTTCCTACGTGAATCTGTGAAATTCTAAGAGTAACGTTTAGTAATTAAAGTATAACTATCATTTTGCATCGTTCTGTAATTAATCAACACTGTATTTCAGGTAAAGTTTTATACACGATCAAATACAGTCCTCATCCTAAATACACAAAGGTTTCGTTCATGTGTGCGAGAGATAAGTCAGAACACAAGGAGGAACAGTAAAGGGCTGAGAGGGTCCTATGTCGCCCCGGGGTATGGCCGGAACGTACCCTGGTACGGTTCCGGTATACCGAACGTACCCGGTACTATGCTAATATGCGTACGTAACCCGCCTACTTCCACTAACGCAGTCTTAGCGTAGTGCGCCATACGCCATACTCCCTAACCCTGCTAACCTCTAACCGAACTCCTAAATCCTCTAAATTCCTAACTCCTAATTCCTAACTCCTAATCCTAACCCAACCATATCAAATAGTGACCAGGGTACGTTCGGTATACAGACCGTACCTCAGGGTAACGTTCCGGCAGTACCCTGTGGGACATCGACGCGTATGACAGCACAGCTAAGGTCGCATGCATCATGATCAACATAATGAGTATTGCTTTCGCCCAGCTATGTATTTTAACATAGTTTTAAAAAAGAACTTAACACGTGGCACTGCGACATGCTATGGGCAATGAAATCATGCGATTTTTGCTGTTGTTTAGTTTTAATAATTGTTAACATTCTCGCTATCGTTACTTAGATATTGAATGTCAGAAGAAGTTTGAAAAGTTCATTTCGGTATATCCATTAGTTGAAATCGATTATGCGTGTGACACATGTTTGTGCATGCTGTGTACTGTGTGGTAAGTGTGTATTTCGTGTGGGCATGCACGGTGTTCGTGTGGGTGGTGTTTGTGTATGAATCGTGTGTGCGTACGTGTGGTAGTGCGTGGTGTGCGTGCATGTGTGATGTGCGTGTGTGGCGTCGCGAGCAATGCGTGCAAGCGTGCGGTTCGCTGTTGTGCGTACGTCGCGCGATGTGCGCGGGTACTTGCGCCGTGAGTGGCGCGCTGTGCGGTGCGTGGTGTGCTTGTGTTGTGTCGTGTGTGCTGTGGCGTGCGTTGGGGTTGTGCCTGCTGTTGTGCGTGCGCGTGCTGGCGTGCGTGGGTGTGCTTGTGTTGTGCATACGCGCGTGCGTACGTGCGGCTGTGCGCTACGTGCGGCTGTGCGTGCGTGGCGTGTGCGTGCGTGCGTGCGTGCGTGCTGTGCGTGCGCGCTGTGCGTGGGGGGTGCTTTGTGGTGCGTGCGCGCTGTGGCGTGCGGGGGTGTGCTGGTTGTGCATGCGTGGCGTGGGTGTGCTTGTGCTGTGCAATGCGTGCGTGGGTGTGCTGTGTGTGGCAATGCGTGCGTGGCGTGTGGTCTTGTGCTGTGCAGGTGCGTGCGTGGGTGTCTGTGTTGTGGCATGCGTGCGTGGGTGTGCTTGTGTTGTGCATAGCGTGCCGTGCATGCGTGCGCGCTGATGCGTTTGCGTGGGTGTTGCTGTGTTGTGTGTGAGTGCGTGCGCTGCGTGCGCGCTTGTCGTGGCGTATCTTGTGTTGTGTGTGCGCGGCGTACGTGCGTGCTTGTGCGTGCGTTGGTATGCTTGTGTTGTGCGTGCGGCTGTACGTGCGCGCTGTGGGCGTGGCGTGGGTGTGCTTGTGTTGTACGTGCACGCTGTGGCATGCGTGGGTGGCCTTGTGTTGTGCGTGCGGGCGTACGTTGCACGCTGTGCATGCGCTGGTGCGTTGTGTTATACGTGCGGGGCTGTACGTGCACCGCTGTCTAGTGTGTGTAAGGTGGCGTGTGTGCGTGCGAGGTGCATGCGTGGGCGTGCTGTGAGTCCGCACGCCGCTCCCGAATCGGTCGGCGGCTCACCAAACCCACCATTGTGCACGATGCGCAGTCATCCGCGGCACATACCAGGGCCTCACGCCGACGTGATGAAGAAGGGCTCTAACCAGGCGATGCGCTTCTACGTGATGGAGACCTGCAAGGACTGGTACCGGCGGCGGCGACGCCACCAGCCCGTCCCAAGCTCGCGTCGGCGGCGTTCGGCGCGCTCGAGCTGGCGCCGTGTCCGTGTGTTCGGCAACACGTCGTACGCCGGACTCACCGTGAAAGACGAGGATGGCAGGTGAGCGCGGCGATCGAGTCGCCCGCGGTCTACCGGGGGCGAGATTGCAGACCATGAATCACAGCCTGAAACCTTCGCGTGAGCTTCTGGGGTGTAGTTATGGCACTGACAGCATGTGTAGGTGGCTCCTGCGTCGCACTGAAACCTTCGCGTGAGCTTCTGGGGTGTAGTTATTGCACTGACAGCATGTGTAGGTGGCTCCTGCGTCGCACTGAAACCTTCGCGTGAGCTTCTGGGGTGTAGTTATTGCACTGACAGCATGTGTAGGTGGCTCCTGCATCACACTGACACCTTTGCGTGAGCTTCTGGGGTGTAGTTATTGCACTGACAGCATGTGTAGGTGGCTCCTGCGTCGCACTGACACCTTCGCGTGAGCTTCTGGGGTGTAGTCGTCGGGCTGACAGCATATACAGGTGGCGCGTCGCACCAAAAACTTTGTGTAAGCCTTTGTGGCTCAGTTATTACACTGACAGCAATACAGGTTACCTGCGTTGCAGGAACCTTTCGTGTAAGCTTTCGTGACTTATTTATGACGTTTATCACAAGAGTACATAGTCCTGCATTAAGCCAAGCTTTTATTGGTGCAAATTTCCAGCCCGAGCTCCATAATTTTGTGTAATTCCTATTATTAACTTCCTGTTCCAGCCGAACCTCGCAAAGCACTGCCAATGTCGGGCAGGAAACTTGCTCTGATATCAAATTAACACTGATTACACGGCCCAAGGTTTTTCTGTCCAGTGCTCACTCGTTTCTCACGCTGCTGCTGTTTCTGCATGGGCAGCCAGCCACCCGGTCGTGACGTGTTAACGCGATGTATTTAATTTCGGTGATTTAACTGAATGATGGTTATCTATCTCTACACAGGGTCTCGAAGCTCACAAGTACAAGAACACGTGGGACTGCATAGTTAAAATAGCTCAACACGAGGGCCCAGCAGCGTAAGTAGTGTCCACAGGCTTACGGTGCAAATAACAGAGCGAGCGTATAGTTCTCTAGCATTCTATAACGTGGAACACTAACGGATACTCTGAGCGTTCATGTTGTTGTTTGTAATCGGATTTGCTACTACGCTGCGTGCTGCATGCTGTTGTGTATTTGCCGCAGGTTCTACAAGGGAACTCTCCCACGGCTCAGCAGGGTCTGTCTGGACGTTGCCATCACCTTCATGATATACGACTCCTTTATGGAACTCTTCAATAAGATCTGGCCGTCGTAGTGGCGCGTGTGAGCGTCGTCTCAACTGCAGTGACGTGGTAACATCCGCATTGTGTCGATGTGTGCGTTATTAACCGTTTGGAAAAATTCTAATGTTGCGTTTGAAATTAACTTTAAAAGGATTTGGACGTTGCCTCGTAATGAAATCGAATGATGGAGTGCTGTGAGGTGCCTGCATGGAGAAGAGAGCTTTGTTTTAAAGCAGCCATCATAGTCGTGAGCATCGTGTCTCTGTCTTGCTCTTGTCAAAGCAGCTAAATCCTGAGATTATGATCCATTGCAGGCAGTTGTCTGTTCTCTCATACTCTTCGCTGCTTTGGATCGTGGGAGATATTAGCGTCCAGAGAATTATAACTGTTCGTATTACACTGCCATTCCAAGTAATTTGAGCTGCGGGTAAAAAAATGATATATTTATTTTTGTTGATATTTGCGATATTTTTATTGACACGTGTCGAGTCCCAATACTAGTGCCATTTTGTGTTTATTGTTTTCCCTCCAGAAAGCTGCTGTTATTGGAGAGTAGAGTCGCGTAATCATGGTTCACGTGATTGCATACATCTGCAATTCTGGGTGTATTCCTAGGAAAGAATGGATATCCGATGCACAAACACATGAACACTTTTATGTAAAAGTCATATCTGAAGTGAATGTCTATCTCCGTTAGTCTAAACGGTGTGTCAAATACGAGTGATTAATAATATGATGGATTGTGCTTTGAGATTCAACCAGGACGTGCAATCAAATTAGCTGCAGATCGCAGCTTTCAATAGGAAATATTACGAGAAGTACAAACATCCAACAAAAGAATTGATATCTGCCTTAATTTCACTTCTGGGTCTAGGTGAATTAAGCTACTCCAATGTTTTACCGTGATTCATACATGTATTCGAATTGGCGGTGGTGTTTGACGAAGTGCTGAGTGAGCACTCGGTGTATGTGCATATCTACTGGCGCCATCTATTGTCTGATAAAATAGTATCTAAAATAGCCCTGGGCTGGTATCATCAGGCTGTGTAACCAGATCGTTAATTCTCTTCCTGTATGTATACTCGTTAATGATAATTTATGCGATACTTGTGAAACAAAATTATAGCAATGCTTCATTAGTCACCGGATGGCTAGCCTGATAGGGTTCCGTAGATCTATGTTCCCTGCAGCATCGCTCTGACAAACACAATCGAAGCAAGCGAGTCAGCAGTCACGGGAACTGTCACGTGAAATTGGTCTTGCCGTGATCACAATCCTATATCATAGAGGCTTGCGTATTAGCTCCTCTCATTGTCGCTGCACTGCCAATAGTAGCGGAAATGCATCTATGGATCTGAATTACAAAGCCGAGTAATTAATAATTTGCTTTAGTTATTCAGAGAGATAATTTGGATGGGTAAGCTTGCTGAGCTGCCTCTATGCATCAGCAGCAGTCTAGTTGGAAGTGCCCTAAGATAACTACATGGAAGGTTAAGTCTTGCAGGCGTGTGACCAGGCGTTGAGAGCGCGTAGTGTTGACTCACGCAGCCGATGAGCCTTTAACCGTGGTTTTCGTGTTTTGCGTTTCATGTTCACGCACAGTTTTGTCTGATTGTGTTTCTGTCGGCGGGGTGTCGGTCGGGTCTTTCGTGTTGTTTAACCCAAACTAGTGCCTCAGACTACTTGTAAACGGTAGAATTGTTCGTAGCTCACATGTGCTAAGCACGTTTTAGTGCTGCTGAGCTCTGCACAGATTAGCAATAAATACATACAGTGTGATATATTGGGGAGGGGCAGTAAATCGTGTCAGTTCAGATGCATGCTGTAATAGTTGGGATACGGGGTATAGTTTTGGTAGCCAACTTACATTGTATAACGTGTTTAGGGGCGTCGTCGTGTCAACCAACCATCGTGATGTAGTAACTGTTGGCCGTAAATATATAGTAGTTGCAATGTTAACGTGGAGGAATATTGTTGAAATTCAGTGGCATGCGATATGATCATTATTCTAAAGAATTACAATAATGGTGTAACTGTCTAGCCCTGGACGATATTAGTAATTTAGCTGTACTCGTTTGTATTCCATCAGAGTCGGTGAGATCTACCATATTATATATCTATTATTTATTATTCCACTGGCATCGATTAATGTGCGACTCTGCCACAAGGTGGCGCCAGGCGACGTTCATGACGCTTGTTGAATTTATAACTCTGTACTTTCATTACATTCCTCTTGATGGAATGTGTACTACGAATCCTGCGCTGTCTAATATTTTAGCTTAGCAGAAATTCGCCCATTCATTCATCATTCTATGTGATTCGGGGTGTAATTCCTTGTCATGTTTACCCACGCAGTTTCACTTCGAAGCGTGACAAGTGTCACGCGTTCTCTGCCACTGCTCGTCAAATGCAACAGTTCAAATCTATGGATGTAGAATGTGAGTAAAATCGGTAAAAGGTTGAGTGCTGACGGCTTGTGAGAGAGAAAGAGAGAGTGGGATAGACCACGATATCAAAAAGGGGGAAAGGCGAGAGAGAGAAAGAGAGAGAGAGAACTTGCGAAAAAGAGAGGGCGAGGAAGTGAGAGAAAAGGCGCGAGAGAGAGAGAGAGCGAGAATGAGAATGAGAGAGGCGAGAGTGAGACTTTCTCCACATTTACCAGACTCGCCCCACGGTATCATTTGCATTCCATTCGTCTGCCATTCTCATCGTCATTGAATATTTTTCCCGCTCCTCTCAGCACGTTTACCTGATTCGTGACAACAGTCGACTATTTCAGTTTCCCCTTTTATGTAACATCGCACGTGTGGGAAGCAGTAATGTGCGCGTGTATAGCGCGCATAGTACATAGGTACCCGCATGCGCGCCCTCGGTGTAAAGTGTGTCACACCAGATGCGTGGGTCTTATGCATCGTCTGCGACCGCGTGTGCTGTGCTGGGCTGTGCCTGTAGCCATCAATGAGGCAGGTAATTAGTCAACATTATCAATACGACACGGTGTCGTATGTTATACATGCGAGCTAGGTTGCTCTCAAACACTCAGCGCTCGCATTACATGTCGTGCTATTTCCTGTACTACCTGTAGAAGTATGGAGCACGATTCTACGCGCATTGTGAGATTGTAAAATGTCTCTCGATGTAGATTATCAGAGTGTAATGCTGTGCCATTTGTAGAAACGTGATAACGGATACTGTATACGCTGAATATTTCGTGGTGGTTTAATGTTCGCGAATTTCGCGAAAGCGTCCCCGACCGCGAAAATAACAACACGCGAATAATTCATACAGAATAATACCGAATATTTCATAATTCACCGACCGCGAAATTAACCACTCGCGAAATTGTCCGTCAGGTCTGAATTCGCGAAAATATCTGTACGCGAAAATTATGGCGTATACAGTGTAGTATGTGTGTATCGTATGCGCATCGTTCATGCCCAGGCATAGTGGGGTTAGGTGTCGAATGGCAGTAGGTGGCATAGGTGGTGGCATAGTAGGTGGCATAGGTGTCGAATGGCAGTACACAATGCTGCCTGTCCTTAACTGTGTAGAAGAGTGAGTAGTAAATTTCGTTCTCGAGTTCTTCCAGAGTTGTTCACAACTACGCAGCGGCTGTATAGAGTTGTATATTTTTTGCAACAAGAAAATATGTCGAGATCGACGAGATATGAAGAAATGGGCGTGGTATTATAAATAGAATAAAGGCGATGTAACACTGAACTGATTGTTCCCCGTCGTTTGTGTTCTTCTCATAACTACAATGTATGAAGACTTCCATGTCATTTAATTAACCCTTTTGATCCATTGACGGCGCAAGTGACGCAATACATACATATAGACGTTCATTTATACAGGTAATATACGGAGTAAACGTGTTAAGGTAGTAGTAAATATAGATAATTATAATGAAAGTTGGGTATTTATGTTATTAATATGTTTTGTGGTTCTAACAATAATCTCATCTCAAAACGACCATCGCAACAGTATGTTGGCTTCAATTTTACAAAACAAATGCAACTACGTACAGTACAGCCGGGCGTAGCTGACTCCTGGGGCCGGTTTCACAAAGCGTAATTAAGTCCTTAATCATGATTAAATCACTAATCATGATTAACTTCTCGTACTTAAATTGAAGTGACTGTTTCACGAAGCGTAATTAACTTTAATCATGATTAAGTCGTCTAATTATGTGATTAGTTAAATATGTACTTAAATCGCTTCGTGAAACAGATTTTTAAGTATGATTAACTAATCATAATTACGGGAAGTTAAGATTAGTGATTTAATCATAATTAAAGTTAATCACGCTTTGTGAAACCGGCCCCTGTTATTCATTGTGCAATTTTTGGCAGACGGTATACGCTGCTATACTGTTATGGTGGGACCCGGGTTTCATTCTTTGCTGGCGTGCTCCGATAATAGCGGTGACGAAATTTCTTAGCTATAAAAGTATAAATATTAGCGACACAAATATTCAATATTGCACCTAATAATTTAGCTATTAATTTTATAAATATATCGACTGTAGGACGATGGTACGCGTGGAGATTGGCGAAGGTGAAGGTGCAGTAGAGAGGAATGCATATGGTTGACGAGGAGAGGGAGGAAGCGTAGGAAAGTGTTCATGTGGCTTATAGGAGAAGATAGTGTGTGAATATTAAGGTGTGGATATTGTAGATATTGAAAATAATGCTCGGGAAATACAAGGGGAATATGATTAAAAAGAGCGGATAGAATGAGCAACGGAAAGGTAGAATACGATTGCAGATAAAAATGCTGAGGATTAGGGGGGGGGGGGTGCTATCTGACACTGAAAGTTAGTAGCAGCATAATAGTATTGACTGATATGAAAGTCACAATAGATAAATGGCAATAATAATAATAATAATTTTTTTAAATAAATAAATATGTATATATATATTATATAACTAGCCTATAAAATATTTAAAGAACCAGTTGCGAACTTCGCAAATACAGTAACGCGAATATAACATTGATTATTTCATATGAACATCTTAATTATTTATACAAGTATCACGTAGAGTTGATGATCGTCGCTGCGTGTTCGACACCTATGCTCGTCAAAGCTATCCTAGACAATCACTGGTCGACGCTAAGCAAATAATTATGTACATTTCCGTTCCCATGCGGCAGAATTCTGGTCGGTGAATGTAGGTCTCCATCTGATTGCGTTTCCAGACGCATCGTCGTCGTTAATAGCAGCAGCACACAATCACCACCACCATCACCAGCAACAGCAGCAGCAGCAGCAGCAGTAACAGCAGCAACAGCAGCAGCAGCAGTAGCAGCAGCAACGGCAGCACCACCCCTACCAGCAGCACCAGCAGCAGCAGTAGCAGCAGCAACGACAGCAGCACCACCACCAGCACTACCAGCAGCAGCACTACCACCACCACCACCAGCAGCAGCACCACCACCACCACCAGCAGCAGCAGCAGCAGCAGCAGCAGCAGCACCACCACCACCACCACCACCACCAGCAGCAGCAGCAGCAGCATCAGCAGCACACGATATCTATAGCCTAGCTATATACGTGACTGGCGACCGCGACCATGGCGGCCGCTGTAAGAGTAGTAAGTGGTGTACGCACGTCCGGCACGTCGTCGTCGTGCTATTGATTGCTGCCGTCGGTGTGTGTTTTTTTTTGCAGGCAGGATGACTATAAAAATACATTCGCAGATTACGTTCCTTTGCGTTTATGGTTTCAGTAAATCCACAGAATGGGACCACGTACGTGACTCCCCGATGGAGACGATCAATTAGTTATCTCTTCTCCCTCTCTCTCCCTCTCTTTATAATCTTCCTCCCTCCCCCTCTCCCTCTCTCTCCGTCTCTCTCTCTCTCTCTCTCTTCTCTCGCTTCTCCTTTCCCTTCTCTCCCTCTCTCTCTCTCTCTCTCTCTCTCTCTCTCTCTTTCTCTATCTCCCTCTATCTATCTATCTCTCGCTCGTGAG